GCATCACCCGCCGAACGGGTTGGGTCCAGCAAGCGCACGTTAGCAATGAATTCGTCCACATGATTAGAGGTAGGTTTTTGGTGCTTGCTTACCCCGCTTTTTATCCCTTTCTCCCTTAGGAGAGGCATAAAAAGCGGTAAGAAAAGCACCTTTAACCTACCCTTAACATGAGTACGTTGCATGCTCGAGCTGCATTTTTCCAACTCCAAAGCTGAGACATTGGATTGCATGTGGCCAAAGGCTGCGTCATGCCCTAATTTGTGCAAAGCCTCCACCGAATCCGCTTCGTATCCCACATGGGGATGGTTACCGGGTGCTTCAAGCGCCATAGAAAGCTGCTGTACTTCTCCACTTGGAAGTTCAGGTAAGGATGAAGTCGTAGCTCTGGATGTTGCACCAGTAGTTGTTGGTGTTGCGCCAGTAGTTGCTGGTGTTGCACCAGTACTTGTTGGTGTTGCGCCAGTAGTTGTTGGTGTGGCGCCAGTAGACGTTGTACTTTGCTTGGTTTGTCCAGGTCCAGATTGTCCAGGTGTCCCCGTCCCAGTAGCAGCACCTTCAACCGGATAAACCCAAACACTCCATGTTTCCCCAGCTGCGCGCGGTTCCTTAGTTGCGAAAGCGTGAGGAGCTGTCTCCAGCTTTTTCAACTGGACGCGAGAAATAGTGACAGTCTCAGTACCATTGACAGTTTCGTTTCCATTTACACTCTGAGGACTCGTCACAGGTGTCCGTCTCCACTCGCATTCAGTACCAGGAATGAGTCTTGCTCCCCTTTTCAGTCGTTCACCCACTCGTTGCCAGGCATTGCGGAAATTCTTCGGAAAACTGAAACTCGTTCCCAGCAACTGCTTGTTGCTTGCGCTTGTCAATCGAGGCGTCAAGTCTTTGTTAAACTGGGAGACTTTCGCCAATCCATCCAAGGCCAGCGCCGATCGATTGAAGCTCTTGCTCAAGTTGGACAGCATCAAGTTCGCCAAATTCAACTCACGGTCATGCAGCACGTCCACATCCAGTCTAAATTGGTCAAATTTCCTTTCCCGGTACAGGCGAAGGCAGGAACTGACTCGCATACAAGCCGCACCCTCGTCACGTGCGAAATCTAACATTAGAGCTACCGCGCTCGCATCCCCGAGAACCTCCCTGGTCCCTTTTTCTCCTTGAAAAAAGGGCCAGGGATGACGTTGAGGATGGTTCAGCGGTAGCCTTAATAACAGATCGGCCCATTCTTTCCTGAGGGTTCGGACGAGAGCGCCTGTAGATTCCGGATACCCCAACGCCAGAGCTCGCTCTTCATCATCCCCATTAGGTCCATACGCATATTGGCGCAGCCACTCATTATTCGCCCTATCCCCTATGAACCTTTCAATTGGAAAAAACCTAGCACTCTGAGTTTCCTGGTCGACCCCTTGAACACCAGTTTCTGCATGCACTGTCCACTCGTTCACGCCATGGGTCATACTTTCCAACGTTTTCTCGTATAGGGCGAGCTCAAATTGACTCATAGGGAGGATCGGGCGGGTCTCTACTCCGTCCGCTACTCCAGCAGCTCCAGCAGCATTAGGACTCAGACCACTTCTAGCATGATCCTGATGAACAACCCTTTCATCCCGATCACCACGTTTTTCTTCCTGATAGACACGGTCTAAGATTTTCTTTAGATTGTCACGGAGACAGTCATTGGCATACACAGATTGCGGTTTGAAATCGGTCCTCCTGCGCCTAGTAACATCATTGCCAGTTGTACTAGCAGCAGCACGCTCCTCCAAGAACTTCGCCTTACAAAAAGCAAACGTGTATCCCCAAATCTGAGATAGAAAACTCTGACCATACGTCAACGGAGCTCTTTCACGGTGCGCGTGAGCCATGATCTCGTAGCACTCGTCGACATTGTAGGTCATTGCAGTAGGCTTTTTATGACCTCCATGTAAAGAACCGTCTCCACCGAGACCAGTTGCTCCGCCAGCAGCAGCAGCAACACCACCAGCAGCAGCATCACCACATTTTCTCGCCACTTTCTTGGCAATTCCATCAGCAGTAAGAGGCAAGTGTGGCAGAAAAGTCAACGAGGCTGCAGTACTTGTACTCATTGTATTCGGCAATGGCGTGCCTTGACGGGAAGTAGGGGGGAGCTGCCTTACAAGAACTTTTCGTCCACCTCCCGCTCTAGAGGAATCCGAATCTTCTTGAGAAACATTGCCCGAAGTAGATGAAAACGAGTCACCCTCACCGTCACCACTCGTCCTACCAATATCGAGATTCATTTTCCTGAGTTCAGCTGTAGCATTCTCAATGGCACGTTCGATTCCTGGATGAGAACCACCATCTACCTCCATTTGCCCATCAGTAGACGGGCTATCCTCATCTGGGGTTAAGCTTCCGGCTTCTTCTAGAAGATCAGCTGTACGGCCCTCCAGAAGTGCATCAGTAGACGGCGAATCTTCAGGCGAATCCGATGGATCGGCCGCTTCAAGTGAAACACCTCCTCTGACCGCAGCAGCATCAATAGGAGCAGGAGCTACGGAACAAGTAACAGCTGCTAGACCACGTAATAACGCGGCACTTCCGAAGAGACGCCTGCCACTCTTGAGAGAAGCAGTAGAAGTCCTCGGAACTGCTAGAGAACGACCCTTCATTTTGTTGCGGAAAGAACCTTCCATCTTGTTGTTTTTGTCGCACACTGATGTAGGACTAAAAAACACTGAGTGAGATGCAAGAGCTGCAGTATGAATACTTAAGCTTATGATGATGAATAAAATTATAAATGTGTGCAGAAGATTGATTATGTTGATCAAATAAATTTGAAGATATTGAACAACAAGTTGCTTAGTTGTTCAGTAGGTGAAAGATGAAGATGTGAGCAAAGAATTTCAACACTTGGAAGCGCGAAAGCGAAGCTACTGTTGTTAAGAACCTGTTAAAAGAGGGGAGAAGAGAAAATTTGCCGAGTGCGGTTGCATGCATGAACATCTTCATCTAGGTTTGACGCAAACATAACGTTTTCTACACTACAGCTTCTAGTCATTTGTAGAAGTGTTTGTCGCATTTACAACTACTGCCGCTGCGAGATCGAGAACTACTTTCGCTGCTTTATTACAAATGTCGTCGCATGTTATGAGCTATGTGCAACGACCCGCTGCTGTATTGAGTCGCATAGTTAGAGTCGTGATTTCTT